ACAATGAATGCTTTTTTCATATAAGTATACGTATATACCGTACCGTATATATATTGATCCGTTTGGCTCAGTTTGTAGTGAGCCTACTTGCTGTGCGAGCGGTCGTGGGTTCGAGTCCCGCTGGGGGCATTCATTTGTGTGATGAGCACGAATGTTTGTACTTCAGTCATGAGTGTTTATATTTACAATGTGTATGTATTTAAAGTTATATATGTGTAGTGTATTAACTGTTTGGTATCCATAACACAAGCCTCGTAGCTTACCATGGAACTAGATGGCGCTGTGTGTCCCATCATATCATATCATATATGCTCGTTTAAACAACCAGTACACCTACAAAAAAAGTATCTTAATACTAAAGTCAACATTTTATAACCACAATTTTATGAATATAATCTAAAATATTTGAACTAAGTTTGAAACAAGCTATCAGCGAGTTAGTCTAAATGCAGTCTAGGAAGTTTCAGTTAAGTGCCGTATTGATAGGACCGTTAGCGATAAAACATGCTTTAAGATGCAATCTGTGTGTATTTTGACGTTGTTTCTTGTTAAGTCAGCATACAAGTGATATTGAATTCATTACAAAATTGGAAATTCCTACTATTATTTTAAAGTTGCAAAGTGGTTTCAACTTCTATTTTACTGGATTCGGTTTAGATTACATACATAAGAAAACGAAATATGTCGTTTATTCGTAACTAATATAGTGTTATATAATCTGTGCTAATATACAAAATTGGTATTATTAATAAATATGTGTGAGAGATATTGAAATTAGAACTTAACGATAAGGTACAATTTAGATTGATCGATTTCTTAAGAAATTACAAACGTTACACAAAATTGCGGTTTATGTGTAATACGAAGAATACGTTTTCAAAGTAAGATTTATTTCAAACTAACGTTTTAACGGTTAGTATGGAATAAATAGACTATAAGTATATTATATTACTGCTCAGTTTCCTTAGGTAGTAGCATGATGATGTGTAGCTTATAACCTTCCTCAATAAACGGGTTATCTAATGCAAAAAAGATTTTTCAATGGAATTGTGTAGTAATTCCTGAGATTTGCGCGTTCAAACAAGCAAACAAACAAACTCTGCCTTTTTACAATATTAGTATAGCTAATCGTATTTCTTCTTACGGTTCACACATTTTTTGATTAGACCATTGTAAGTAAAATAGTAATAAGCCTTTCAAAATTGGTAAAATATTCATTTAATATCATCATCAATTTCACAAAACGATATTCAATTGGGAAAGTAAAAAAATAAATAAAATGTAGAGTTACCCAACATTTTTTTTATTATACATATTAGGTAATCAATCTATATTATATAAATATTAATTATTTACCTATACATTTAAATTATTTTTATTCACTTAAAAAATATAATAATAATTTTTGTACATAAACAATGCACACGCCACTTGAGACGTCGGTTGACCGTGGAGCTGTATTGCTCAATTCATTTTAATTTATGTTTACTTATCAATTTGCTTCTATTTAATATATCGCTAACAACATTCCAATAATTTCTTACGTAACAATATAGAATGGAGCCGTGATCTAAATAAAATGAAAATATAAACCTTTTATCGGTTAGAAAATGTATTAAAACTTTCATCACAATAATAGGGTAGACGATGTTGCCTCACTAGTGGGTGTTAAATTGCTGTCCAGATTTATGTTATTTAGTCTATACTACAAATTATTATTTGCGACACTCGAATTTGCATATTATTGTAACAGATTTCTTCCTATATTTGCGTATAACATGCGTCTTGCAACTTTAACAGCGATCGTTTAAATAGTCCTTTCTAATCAACAAAAGCTGAACTATCGGTTTGGAAATGTGTATCTACGTTATTTGTAAATGTTAAAGCGTAAACCTGAAACTCCTTGCCATAGTCGCTTCGATGTACAATTTTAATTTAATTAATACTAGCGGCTCACGCTAGTTTCGCTCGGGTTCGTCCCTAGGTGCGTTTTAAATGGATATAAATAGTTATTATCCAACATTAGCCATGTATATTTTTAATTTTTTTTCTTGAAGTTTTCCGATGTTTTAATAGTTATTCTGCTATTCGGGGCAAAGACGAATCTAACAAATCAAAAACCATGAAAATCGGTCCAGCAGCTTATAAGTGTTGTAACAAACCTGTCTTTGTTTTATATATGTACATATATAAGATTTTTATTGCTATAATATTACTTCAATAGAACTTTATCTTAATCTTAATTCTTTTACTGTACTTATTCGATTTTTTTTTTCAATCAATATATAACTTACTATCACAATAATTACTTTATAATTGAAAATGTACATTATTTCAAAATCAATAAATATTCCATCACACTTTTACTATATTTGATTTTTTTGTTAATATAATTAATAAAAAAAAAGAATCATTATAACAATTATAAACAAACATACGTTTACAGGAAATGAGCACCTCCTTTTTCGAACTCGATCAAAAAGATAAAAATATTCGTAGAAACAAGCTTAGAAGCGTTTCTTGCGTTCCACAACTACCCTTAAAAGCAATGCGGAATTGTTACCGATACAGATGACTAATAGGCCTCTGACCCAGCTCATAAGCGGGTCGCCTTCAGCAGGCCTCGGGTAAGGTCACATATCAAGTTCGCACGTTCGGAGACCGGTCGCGTATGTGCATTTATTACATAACGTTTCTGCAGTTCCCGTTCACTAACACATTGCAACTACGCAAATTTGATACCATTTAGATCTTTACATTAGAAATAGGCATTTGATGATTAGTTATTACTTATTATACAGAGTTAGACTTAGACAGAGTTTATCTAAAACTAGTGACTCACCCTCGCTTCGCTCGGATTCGACACACGGACAGATAGACTATTCATTGTATATATGTACATAGGTATGATGAGTTGTTGTGGGTTGTATATAACGTGTTTACCCATGGAAAATCTCCCGATAAGTTAATCTCCCGCGGTAAAAAGTAGCCTATGTCATTCCAACTATCTCCACACAAAAAATCACGCCAATCTGTTACTCTAATCAACGTGAAAAAAGGACAAGCAAACAAATAAAAATACACACTTTCACATTTATAATATTACTAGCATTACCCGCGGCTCTGCCCGCGTTCAGAGGACAAAAAACCAAATTCTTAGGTTTTACATATTAGTAACTCTTACATTGCAGTTCTTGTATAACCAGCTATTACCATACCAAATTTCATCAAAATCCCTCCAGTGGTTTTTCTGTGATGCGGTAACAGACAGACAGACAGGCAGACAAAAATTCTAAAAACTATGTACAGATTCGGCTTAGTTACAATTTTATTATATGTAGGTATAGAAGTATGGATTCCTAATTATTATTTTACATTTTTGCAAATCAACCCCTAATTCGAGTGTTTTGTAATCTCTTAACAGCTGTCTTGTCCAATGCAGGAATATAAAAGCGTAAACAGTAAGAAACTATATTATAGTTCGGAGCCGAGAGAGTGGCATGATGAGTTAAATATAGCGACACCAAAGAAACAATGTGAATGTATTTTGATACAAGTAAATTGGAAGCTGTATTCGCTCTAAGGTCGCGGAAGACTTCAGGCGATGCCGTGATTTCTGTTAATAAGTTCATAAATTACGAAATATTTTTTATTAGATTTTTTTCTTTTTTGGTGTTTTTATATTATAAAGAAATTTTACAGATATTTACATGAAAAAAACGAAGAGTTTGTTTATTCTATGAATTTATAGAATTATTTATATATATAATAATAAATATTATGTATTATGTTTCCTGAGAAAATTGTATTTACTGGGATAAAAAAATATCTTGTGTCGATCTAGAGCTTATAAAATTTCTATTGCTGCAGGTATAAAGGGAAAATTAACCAACAAACAAACACTCTCTCATTCATAATATTAGTAAGGATAAAAATATCATATATAAATTGAATATTTATTAAAACAAACAAACAAAAAGCTTACAGTTCATCTGTTATGTTTGACTTCAATTACTGAATGTAACTTCGTGACTAATATAGTCAGTATGTATTGTGACATATGCATATTGACAAGTTAGCACGAAATACGCTTTAGTAATACTACTTTTTCAAATGATGGAGCTTGTTATCTTTTGTACTATATATATACATAAATTATAATTAATGTGCATTTGTTATATATATACTACGAGTATATTATGTCAAATCATACATACTTTCATCCTCCGGAACTCCGGAACCGAGTTAGTGCGAATGGTACGAAAATTGTGTGGTGTTTGTTTTATGGATGAAAGAGGTGGATGGAACAATTTTTTAACCATTTAAAACGACTCGTGTCATGAAGTATAAGCTAGCCGTTAAACACACAGACAGAAATTCAGTAATTATCACACGAACAGAAAAAATTGCACTGCTTCGGTTAAGTGATGATGTCAAATATTTATAAATCCTTACTTAGTGCTCAACAATGTTATATTAAGAAATGTGCTTTCTTGCTAGACCCTAGCTTGTGAGTTTTTTTTAAAGTGTAACAGTTTTACAAGTTTATAATATTATTTCACAGGGAAAATAGGTTCATAATATGAATTATTATGAAAGTAATAAAATAGCAATTCTCTATTTCCGTGTGCTTGAACGACATTGACAATAAATATATTTGTATATATATCTTGCAGAAATAATATTTTCAAATATAAATCTGTCGACTTCAAGGCTTCGAATAAATAATAACAACTTAATCTAAATAAATATTTAGTACATCATTGGCATACATACATATTTGTATCGTATCTTAATTGAACTAAAGTAAGGAAATTTATTATAAACATCTAACATGTAGTTAAAAGCCATATTAAGTTTTCTGTCATGTTTATTTTAATATAACCAATGATTGCTTTTAATAATACCTTTGATTTCAAATTTAAAAGAAATCAGTTTTATGTAAGCTAATTAGTTTATGAATTAAACATTTTATTAAATGATTTCTCTATTGTTCACAGGCGTTAATAGTTTGCGCGTGCGCAGTGATGACGGCTGCTCAGTACAATCACTTCGGTTTCTCAGACGGCTACCTTGCTACCAACTTTGGACCCCCAAGCTTTAACGTTTTATCGGCAGCCTCTGCTAGAGATCCTAGAGCCAATAGAGGTATGTATATATTACTACTAGCGATTTACCCTTGGGTCCCTAGGTTTTCGTTTCTATTTGAGTTCATTTGTTCAGTGGGATCGCTGACATTGTAAATAAAAGAGCAGGTATCCTTGTTGCTATGAAACATTGGGTAGATACACAATTAACATAATGTATCAAAAAACCTTCCAACGAATTTTACGTATTAGCCACATAACATAATCAGATTACATATATTTCGTAAGTATTATACCGAAGAATAATATAATAAATCTTAGAATAACGTCATGGTACAGTAGTTTAAATGAGCCACCAGGCACAGACCGTACAACGATTTTCGACACGGGTTCGATTACAGTGCGAGACAAATAATTATATCGACTATGCAGTTGTTAATTTAGTATGTAAAAATATTTTTTATGACTATATATAATATAATAAAAATGTCTCGATAAACGTCAAAATGTTTTTTCTACTCCTATTAAAAGGAAATATGCGTAGACCTATTTGCATAACTTATAAAATTTTACCTATTAAGGAAAATAAGCAAATGATTTATCTATAAATCATTATGGCTACTTAAGTATAGACAAATTGTGGCAAATTTACAACCGTGACAAAATCTATTTCGCAATAAAGACTATTTACGACTGGGTTATGCCAAAATGTTAACAATATTTGTTAGAGACGCTTTACGAGTTTTTAATTGCTAAGTAAGTGTTGTGAATGAAGACATGAACACGGGTTAGTAAACAATAAACGGCTAAGATTAAACTCATTATATTTAATTGAATGATAGCTTAATATTGCCATGTAATAAATTAAAATTACCCACCTATTATTTTTTATTAATTAAGTGTTGACACGTGTGAAAATTATATTATTTTTCTCATAATCAATATTTTTAATGATCATATTAAACCTATATAAAGAAGTTGATTGAAAAGAGCCGTTTTTATTATCGTCATCAGAAAACATTTTGTTTATAATATATTTAGTAATTAAACGTTCAAAATATAATACTTATATATTATAGCAAGTAAAACGAAGGATATACGATTAAATATTATTCATCTGTTTACATACAAAACCTCCTTGAAAGTAATGCCCTGACTTACAAAGTAGAATTTATAATAGGTAGCCATTTAAAGACAATCAACATTAGGAAATTTATAGGTGTGGTGTCTAAGTTTTGTAGCAAACAGTCAGCAAATAGTAAAAACTGCACTCTACTAATTGTTAGTAAAGTAACATGTGCTCATGACATTGCGAAAGCAAACATTGCATTCGCAAATACTTTCGAAATAGTCTGCGGTTGTCTTTATTTTTACTATTGTTTTTATGAAATTGAAAGAAATAAAATTAATGAGCAAAAATAAACGGATTCTGCACTGCAAGACAATTGGTGAACTTTTTTGGGGGTCAATGTTTTTATTGTTGGCAAAAAAATGCGGATTTCACAATCTAGATTTGTTATATTAAATTGAATTACTATTAAAAAGATCTGCTGTAATATTGTGTGGGTTTAGATATTCGTAATTATTTTAATATTTCTTAATATGCTTTAGGTAGTGAGGCAGTGGTTGCCCAGTGGTAATGCGCTCGCTTGGGAAACCGAGTGAAGCGAGTTCAAATTCCGGGTCTTGCACCTCTGATATTTTCATGTGCGAATTATTTCCACCATGATTACCACTTGTTTTAACGGTGAAGGAAAACATCGTAAGTAAACCTGCATGTCTGAGAGATCCTAGAAAGTTTTCAAAAGACATGTGAAGTCCGGCAACCCGCACTTAGCCAGCGTGGGGGACTATGGCCTGATTCCCCTCGTACTGAAGGGAGGCCCAGCCAGCAGTGGGACGTTAAAAAGGGCTGAATACAATGCTTTAGGTTTTTTAAAGTCCCAATTGATAAATATTTATGACGCATGAATGTGTTTTAAACAAAAATTGATATAAAAATACTATACTATTTCAATTGTATATTCATTGTATTATAGTTTAGAATAATTTACTTATCTTAAGTACCTATATACTCTATTTAACACGCAAAAAGATAGAAAAATACATTAACAAACATTTGTATGTATCTAACCGAAAAACGAAAGTTTGTTTTTTTGTTGATTAATTAAATTAAAATAAACATTAAATAGATGATTGTATTACTTAAAGATATATTATAAGTAAACTAGCTGACCCGACAGACGTTGTCCTGTCTACACGTCTTTAATTTGAAAATTTCAAACTTTTTTTAATGAGCTAAAACATTCTGGACCATTTTGATTAAAATTATTACTCAAATTGTGAATCTAAACCATTCTCAGATCCCCTTGAACACACACAAAAAATTTCATCAAAATCGGTCCAGTCGTTTGAGAGAAGTTCAGTGACATACACACTCACAGAAGAATTATATATATAAAGATATATTGTAAGTCCAACATTTTGTTAGTGAAAAATAGCGAAGGACACTATATTCCCACAATTCGTCGTACATTCTCCAATGTGCACTTTAATTATTCTTTTTTTTACGGTCCAGTTTTTTTCACGGCTGCGGCTTCCGTAATTCAACCGCTTGAAGCCAAATGAACGTTTACGCAAACCGATGTAAATTAGACTGGCTTGTTCGATGCAGGAAAGGGGCCGACCAGTTAAATTTATTTACTATAATTTCTAAACGATTGGATATAGCTACAATAATCTTTGTTGAAACACTTCCTTTAGAGTGACGAGTTGCCAAATTTGCGGCATGCAATTATTCGCATATATGATTATATTATTATATTAATTTTAACAAAATTTAATAAGATATAATTGGCAACAACCAACAAAAGTTGAGAAAAGAAGTTACATAGTTATCTTTGAAACAACAATTATTGATACTTTCTTAGATTTACGCGAATATTTGACATTTTAAATAAAACTATCTTTTCGGATTTTGTCGCGGATTTATTTGCATTTTTGTTTCCCGACCATGGATGCTGTAAAGCATTCGAAACGTCGGGAAACAAAAATGCAAATAAATCCGCGACAAAATCCGAAAAGATAGTTTTATTTAAAACAATTATTAATGTTAAAAATTGATTGAAAATCCATAATTTTTAAATTTTCATCTTTAGCAATCAATTGAGTTACTTAACTATATTACAATATGAAAATGTACGCGTCGTATATTAGAGAATCTGGTCATTGTTAGAAGGGTCCCGCTCCGTTTAATGACAGAATCATGCTTGGCCGAGCAAGAACTGAGGACGTTGCACAAGTGTTTTGCACACGGCATCCCTCAATCAGAATTAATTGTTGCGAGCATAACCAGCTTGATAAAATTCAGTTAATGTTAGAAATGTTTCGAAAGCAATATATCTATACATATAATAAAATTGTACTAAGCCGAATCTGTACATTAAATATTTTTTGGAAAATCTTATTGCAATAGACATTATTATCGATATAGAGGCCGAATCTATAGTTTTTAGAATTTTTGTCTGTCTGTCTGTCTGTTACCGCATGTGATAGCTGGTCATCCGGGTCAACATACAGGATACTTTTTACTGCGGGAAAATATCTCATTTCTGAGAAAAATACAAAAACTGCATTGTAAGGTAAAACCTAAGAATTTGGTTTTTGGAAATCTATGCAATGCTAGTGTATTTATATTATTTTTTATTATACGAGTACATATTCTATGTTTTAAACTATATAAAAAAAATGATATTATTTTGTTTCTTGTTCTGTTTTAAATGGCCACCTTATTCAATGTATTGCAGGTTTAATATCGTGTAATTAATCAAAATGAATGTCAAGTTTATATGTCAAAAAAAACAACAATAAAATCCGCCAAAAGACGCAAAAAAACATACATAGTTTTCTTAAAGATCCTCCTTTTTAAATGATTAAATAGTTTAATCGTAGGTTAAGTAGTTATGCTGTAAATGAAGCCTTTTCTGGTAATAGCAGAACGAGGTTTTCATAATATTCGTGTAAATCTATTGTATTGTATTCAGCCGTTTTTTTTAATGTCCCACTGCTGGGCACGGGCCTCCCTTCAATACGAGGGGAATCAGGCCGTAGTCTACCACGCTGGCCGAGTGCGGGTTGGCGGACTTCACATGTCTTTCGAAAACTTGCTAGGTTCTCTCGGACATGCAGGTTTCCTCACGATGTTTTCCTTCACCGTTAAGACAAGTGGTAATCATGTTGGAAAATGATTCGCACATGAAAATATCAGAGGTGCGAGACCCGGGATTTGAACTTGCTTCACTCGGTTTTCCAAGCGAACGCGTTACCACTGGGCTACCACTGCCTTTGTGTAAATCTATATGTATAATAAAATAGTAATAAAGCGAAATCCGTACATTAAATATTTTTTTTAAAAACAGTAACTGTAACTTTTTGTGTATAGAATATAGACCCCAAAACAATAGTTATTTAGTTAAATTTTTTTGTCTGTTTGTCTGATTGTCTGTAAATCTGTGTGCATTTCACGCAAAAAGTACGGTACCGATTTTAAATAATTTTTGTGTTGTAATAATTCTCTCGGGTCATCTTTTAGGGATATCTTTCACTACAGGTAAATCTTTCATTCCTACGGGAAAATACAATAACTGGTTCTGTCAAGTCGTTCTTAAAGACATGGCTAATGCTGACTCTCTTTAAAACGTACCCATCGCAATCGAGTAAAGTGAGGGTAACTCGCTAGTGGAATATAAAACCTTCATAAACCTGAATTAAAAAAAAAACATATTAAGGAGTATATTTTTTTTAACTGACAAGTAATTCCGAGTATCAAGCAGCCACAATGTACATTCAAAAACTAATATTTTGTTAACAAATCGTTGTTATACTGAATTAGATCCAATTATGATGCCGTTGGTTGTAAAACTGCACAACAGTTGTCGTGTCGCAAGTTCCAGTGTAAAACAATCCTTGCACAATATGTGAGGGAGATAGTAATTATTTGCGTGCCTTTATTATTAACATTTGCAATAGTTAATTAAACATTAGATTAAATCGGAAAGTTAT